CCAAGATGAGAGGAAATCTTCCTGAAAGACATACTAATCTGTTGGCCACATGTGAAGGTGAGGAGATAATGAGCAAGAAGGGAAGGGGGAACCAGCCATTTTGAGGTGCAGGGAGCATAAGCTTGGGTTCATCCACACTGCCCCTGCCACAGGCTTGGAGAAGACGACCAGCTGATGTAATGCTCATGGAAGTAGACAGAGAGATGTGGAAAACACTGTGGCACATATGGGAAGGACAGTCCAAAGATCTGAATTCAGGTTTCAACTTTGCCATGCCTTAGCTGGACTTCTCTAAGTTTCAGTTTCTTAATTCATGAAATGCAAACAATGATGTGGTAGTGTAACTTCCCTAAGATCACAGGACTGATATTCTGACTATGCAATGAGCAGGAATCCTAACAGCATACCCCCACCCCAGTCTCTTACCTTTCCTATATTCTTCATCCCATGCCCTTGAATTGTATCCCTCTTGTCCCATCAAAACCGATCTGTTTATGTGTGGCTGATAAATTTATCACTACTGGCTGTGGATGATATGGATCCGCAGGGTTAATATTGTACTCTCCTGGCTCAGTCATTGTAGTGCAGTGGTAATCCAGTACCCAGAAAGGCTGGAAGTCACATGCCAACCACAGCTTTGGATCTGCGGGTCAGCCTGAAAGCATGTGAGTACCAAAGATCCTGAGAAGTGGGAGGGCTAGAGAAAGGGAACTGCAGTGTCTCTTTCACTCTCTCTCTTAAATAAGTACACAGTCTTTATCACACACACACACACACACACACACACACACACACAATCAGTACTATGATGAACAGGGTTCTTCACACAGCATCAATGGCTTTGTGATACCTTTGATTTTTTAGCTCTTATACCCCCACCCCAGTCTCTTACCTTTCCTATATTCTTCATCCCATGCCCTTGAATTGTATCCCTCTTGTCCCATCAAAACCGATCTGTTTATGTGTGGCTGATAAATTTATCACTACTGGCTGTGGATGATATGGATCCGCAGGGTTAATATTGTACTCTCCTGGCTCAGTCATTGTAGTGCAGTGGTAATCCAGTACCCAGAAAGGCTGGAAGTCACATGCCAACCACAGCTTTGGATCTGCGGGTCAGCCTGAAAGCATGTGAGTACCAAAGATCCTGAGAAGTGGGAGGGCTAGAGAAAGGGAACTGCAGTGTCTCTTTCACTCTCTCTCTTAAATAAGTACACAGTCTTTATCACACACACACACACACACACACACACACACACAATCAGTACTATGATGAACAGGGTTCTTCACACAGCATCAATGGCTTTGTGATACCTTTGATTTTTTAGCTCTTATACTAAACAGGTTTCTTCAGAATCCCTGCATGCCTATATAGGATGGGAGGGTAAGATTGGGAGAGAATGAACCTAGTCTCTATTTCAACTAGAACAGACTCTTATCTCTTACATATTGAATTTCCTAGCAGGATCTCTTCTGCATAGGGGAGATCTGCTTTAGAATATTTTTTTTTTTAAAAAAAGATAGTAATACTTTAAAATTACCTTTGAAACACAACAGTAGACAGGAGACAATTTAGGACCAGCCTCAGGGGGCCCTCCGATAGCTTACATAGAGTTTAGCAGACCAAACCTAACATGTTACAAATAGATAGGTGAATACATGAATGAATACATGAATAAATGAATGAATGAATGAATATGCGTTTTAAACCTGTCATCATTTCATGATACAGGCAGGGACATTTAACCACGGCTAGCATGATCACATGTTACTTCTGTCATGTGAACTCTCTCACCTGTTTCTTGATTTTTCCAGATGTCACCACTGCTGTCCTACAGACTTGACTTTCCAGCTTTCACACACAGGTTGACAAAGGCAAACACGAGAGCACCAGAGAATTCAATTCATGCTGTAGGCGTCCTCAAAGAAGGCCTATACTCCCAGTTTCATCTCGCGAGATCTTTAGAGTCTCTTTGATTTCCCAGAGGACACAGAGACCCAACGACAATGCTATTGAGATGAGTTGAACACACTTTGCCCTTCACAAATGTGCAACCATGACCACAAAAATAATAGTACTCACCATGACAATGGTGTACCTGGGCCTGTGCAAAACGATCACATCCATTATCCCTTTTCCACAATGACGCCGTGAGATAGGCACCAGCATCCCCCTTCCTCCCTTTTGTAAATGAAAACAGTAAAAGCTCACAGAATGTCTTATATATCTTCCTAAAGTCGTAATGTCGCGAAGTAACAATGCAGAGGTTAGAACTCAGGTCTTTCCTTCACTCCCAAATTTAACCATTTTCACACTTCTCTAAGCTGACCAGGTCATTATAAAGCATCAGACCTACACACAACCCCCAAATGGACACGTCTCAGGATTTTGCAGATTTTAGATCACTTTTTCACCACCCCTCCAGCCTCCTACTTCTACAATGATTCTAGTCAACATATTAAACATTTAGTTCTCTTTTGGTCCAATTAATCAAAGGTTGAAAATAGGATGAATAAATAAATGAATGATTCAAGGAATACATGGATAAATGAGTAAAGGGGAAATGAATATATGAGTGAATGAATGAAGTGACATCTGTAAAGCACTGAAAGCCAGCTGTTAAATCAATCACACAGTCAAGGCAGGGGTCTTGGGCAGGTGTGTGAGAGAGTTATATAAGGGGAGGGGTGTATCTATAAGGGAAGAGTAGAAATTTTTACAGAACTACCTGAAAAGCTTGCATTATAGGCAGGGAACTGAATATAGAGATTGGAGCTGGGACCCTTTCAAATGTATCTGAGAGATAAAATACCCAGGCAGAGCTTTCGATCCTAGAGAAAAGGAGGGGGAGGAGGGCAGCTGGAACGTCCTGCTTGGTGCCTTTGGCACAGGTCTCACTGCAGGCTCTGCTCCAACCTGTGTCATCAGGAATAGGACTCCGGTAATGGGAGAACCACAGGTCCCAGCAAGATCAAAGGCACATGCTTTTATGCCTCAATTAAAGTTCCCCTTGTAAGGCATTCAAACACAATTTAGCCTGTCTCTTCTGGGCTGGGCCAGACACAAAGACATGCACTGGGTCTTTTTGCAGCACAGAGCCCATGAGCATCTGTAATTAACAGCTCTTTCCTGCTAAAAGGAATCAGGTTTTGGTACACAACATGGTCTGTGTGTGAGGATGAAAACTGTACTATTCACAGGGTACCAAGTGGGCTGTCTGCCCAAGACTGTCTGACACAGCCTGATAAGGCTTCAGGGCATGAAAGTTTGAAGTAAGGAATTAAGAGAGAATTCTCATCAAGAAGAGAGAGGAAGAGGTACAGGGATAAAGAAGATGACAATTCACCATGTGTGGTCTAGCAGAAGCAGCATCCACTGGAAGTCAGAAAACCTGCATTTTGTTGTGTTCTGGCTTTGCCACTTTCTCCCCATTGCCTTGGGAATTCATAGAGATCCTTAAATCCTACTTTTGTGGAGGAAAGGGATAACAAGGCCTCCCTCGAGGACTGTAGCATTGAATCTACAGTCCCCTTCTTGGGAAATGTATTTTAATATGATCATCCAGGCTCATACTGATTCACTGATAACCTTTCTATATAACTCTGAATAAGTAATCGTCCTTCCAAGAAAATTATCCTGGAGCAGAGTACTTGTATTTTCTTTCCAGCCCAGAATGACCTGCTGAATGGCTCTGTTTACCCTACAGGTGGAAGCAAGCTCCTGAAATAGAAGCTTAAACTACCCCGACAGGGATAACTTGCAAGTTAAGTTTACAGAAGCACATGTAAAAATATTAAGGTGGTTATACTCAGAAGGGCAAATAAGACCCAGTGTGTGTGTGTTGGGGGGTGGGGGTAGAGGGCTGGATGATGGTGTAACAATAAATGCAGTACTCTGTGAAGTTGTCCCCATGAGAAGGGCACAAGTTCATGGCCAAAGACCTCCATAGTATGCTGGGCACACTGTGCCCTTGACCTGGCTGGCTGATGCTGGGGGTGACTCTATTGGGGATGCTGTTTCTCTCTCTCTCTCATGGAATAAATAAATACACTTAAAAATAAATAAAAGTCAATGTGAAGGAAAAGTGGTGGAAAGAATAATGCAGAGGAGTGGATTTGATTATGGCTCTGATGGTGTTGAAGGCTTCATGGGTGTTTATGTACTCCCAAACTCAGTGAGTGTTATGTGTGTGTGTGTGTGTGTGTGTGTGTGTGTGTATCTCAAAAACAGGGGCAATAAGATAGCACGGAGGTAGAGGTTAAGGTAGCTGGATACCACGTGGCTAACCATGCCATTCAAGTCCCAGACTCAGTGGCTTGAAAGACACACCTGGCACGTTTGTATGCATGCCCAAAATCCCAAAAGGAGAATGGAGATGAAGGGACTGCAGCATGGAGGTCTCTTCTGGGGTGATTTCTCACTTTCTCTCTCTCTCTCTCTGTGAGTACACGTACCCTATGCCAAACTATAAAGTAAGTAAATAAATAACAGGAGTCAGAGTAGTCACAAGATACAGAGGCTAAGGTTGAGAGGACAGGCGGGGGCTGCTATGTGTTGGGCGCCTGGGAGATACTAAGTCTATCAAGCAGAAAATTGAGACTTCATCTGTGTAGTCTCAGAGCCGGGCTCACCACTGAATCTTCCTGCTGCCTTTTCTGCTGTGTGGGAAAAGGGCTCTTTGGGGAGTTTGGAGGAAGGCCTAGGGCTAAAGCAGGAGCAAATGGTCCTTTCCTGAATAGCACAAACTGGATGTTCAAACCGCAAACAGGGTTTTAATCATCCTGTTTAATTCGACATGCACCTGTATCATTCGACATGTATCTGTACGTTCTTCTCTGTCCTAAATGGATCCCTAATATATATAAAATTTCCAAAGAAAGTCTTTGAATGCTCTCACTTCAAATAGCCCATTCATCCCCCAATGGGCAGTGAGAGCTCCAGGAGTCGGAATATTTCCTCCGTAAATAAAGGGATGGAAACCGTGCGCACGAACACCCACCAGCCGGTCTTCTTCCTTTTATTCTCACACAAACGCAGGCGAGAGCCACAGAGGCAGGCACGTGTGTGCCGGCGCGTCCTCCCCGCGGAGCTTCCGTTCTCCATGCGGAGTCAGGGGAGCCCACCCTTTCAAAGTCCCGTTTGAAAGCAGCCGGCTGCTTGAAAGGCGGCTCAGATGTCATTTGCTGGCCTCGCCCGCTACACAATAGGCTTCGCGCCGAGCTGGGTCCCTGCGGGGCTGCCCAGACCCTGAGAATGAGGGAGCAAGCACGTGGTGGCCGTTGGTCCCCAGCCGCGCGCAGCCAGCCCAGCCGGGGTGGGGGCGCCGGCCCTGGTAGCAGACTGGAAGTCGGGGAGCCCTGGCGTCTGAGTCCTCCCTGGCGCTGAGAACAGCCTGCGTTAATGAATTCCACCCAGAGTGGGTACTTGGGCAAAGCCGCCCACGGGACTTCGGGGCATCAGGCCGAGTTTTCAGTTCTTCTTTTAAGTTCACTTACTTCAAAGTTTTCCATTTGAAGCAGTTGAGAAAGCCTGGTAGACGCAAGAGACGAAAAGAGCAGCAAAGAAAAGAAAGAGAAAAAAAAAAAAACCTGAAAAATATTTCAAACAAAGAAAAAAAAGGTGATTATAAAAACAGCTCAAGCAAGTGAAAGAACAGTGGTGGAGACATTTAGAGCTTCATCCCACCTCCACCTGACCCACCCTGTTCAAAGAACAGTGAGAGATAATTCAGTGAAAGATGGAAGTCTTGGGCCTACCAAGAATTGAGGTACAGGGATTCAGAGGGGAAGTTCATTGACAAGAACTACAGTGGCTTCTTGGAGTAAACTACATTATTTCCTCTTTGGTAGTTTTGCAGATTGGCAAGTAAATGTGAAAAGTATTCACCTCCAAAGAATGTTCCTCAGGGGCCAGCAGTTGACGTAATGGCTACGTCTCTGGACTCCCACGTAGTCGACCACAGTTTGAATCCCGGACCTGGTGGCTTAAACTCACGCTGGGCATGTATGCGTGCCCAAGATCCTGAGAGGAGAATGGAGAAGGGATTGTGGCCTGGCCATCTCCCCTAGGGGGTGATTTCTCACTTTCTGTCTCTCTGGTGAGCACATGCGCCCTATAGAAAAACCTCTCCAAAAGAAAAAAAAGAATGCTCATCAGATATCTCACTTCCCTGATGGATTTTTAAAAATAAGACTTACCTTGCTTACATCACAGATGGGAAAATGGAAGCCCAGAGAGGTTAGGCAACTTATCCAAGTTACCCTGAAGTGCTGAGGTGTGGGTTCGAAAACAACCCTTATGTTTTCAACACCATTCTGCCTGCAAATAAATAAATAGATAATTAAGCAAATGAAATTTTAAAAATAAAAGGAAAAGGTGGCAATGGCTAAGGTAGGCTTTTCTAATTCAGTATTCTAGAGACCGGAGTGGCAACGCACATCCACAGACCACTGCTCATGCACCATGGTCCCCTTAAAGCAAGGAACGCATTTTGCTAGTCATTTACTAACCTAACATGGTAAGAGCATCTATCAAATGCAAAGGCCATGTGAGGGTCTATGGGAAAAGTGCTAAGAAATCAAACACATTGACCTCAGTGCTCTGGGCACTCCTTGGGCAGGAAGGAAGTAGTATGTACAGTCATGCACATGGCAGAGGTGAAGGAAGAAGTAAGAATGGAAACTGCCTTTCGTGGGAAAAAAAAGCTGGGGTGATAATAAAACACAAGTAATGGCCAGTGCTTCTCAAGCAGAGGCCAAGACTGATCAAGAGCACTGGCTCAGAGTCCTGCTGCTGTCCTCTCCCTACTGCGTGACCTTGGGCTCATTAGTTAACTTCTCAGCTCCTCAGTATCGTATTCAACAATAGACTTATTGTGAGGTCTAAAAAAATTCCATGCAGGGACCAGCAGTTGGTGTAATGGCTATGTTGCCGACTGCAGTTCAAGTCCCAGACCCAGTGGCTTAAACTCATGCTGGGCACATGTGCATGCGCCCAACATCCCGAGGGGAGAATGGAGAAGAAGGGATTGCAGCGTGGCCATCCCCATGGGGGGTTATTTCTCGCTTTCTGTCTCTCCATCTTTCTCTCTCTCTGTCTTTCTGGCAAGCACAGGCACCCTTTAGTGAAAAACCTCTCAAAAAAAAAAAAATCCCATGCAAAAGGTATAGGATAATGCTTGACACTTGTTTGTTTGCTATAGGGCACATCCACTTAATGGGGAAAGACAGAGAGAAAGTGAGAAATCACCCCGCAGAGGGGTGGTCACACTGCAATCCCTTCTTCTCCATTCTCCTATTAGGATTTTGGGCACACACACACACACACACACACACACACACTTGGTGTGCACATTGCCAGGTCCAGGACTCAAATCATGAAGTTGGCCATGACTTACTTGGGTGTATCAAGAACTGAAGTAAACTCAAAGCATGGGAATTAAGAAGGGAAGTTCAATCCCACATGGGATTCAACTTCCTTCAGTCTTGCCATCTGCTGCCCCAATGTTTGACACATTTTAAGTGCTAAATAAATATATATTCTTTTTATAAAATTCTGTTGCCTGCATTTAGCATTTTTACCACACCAAATCTTTATGACAGTGCCACGAGGTATATGTATATATCCCTGTTTGAGAGATGAGGAAAATGAGGCACCACGAGTTTATGCCACCTGCCCAAGTTTACTCACCTAGTAAACAAGAAACTAAGGCCTAGACACAGGGCAACCTAATTCACCTTAATTCTCTTTCTGATTGCAATATTGCCTCCCAGGACTCATACCAGAAGTACAAGTTCAAATTTAACTTGATCAAATGGTTTTCGAACATCTTAACATTTCTTCTGTGCCAGGTACCTACTACATATTAGAGATGCAGAGAAGGAAAACAAACAAACAAAACAAACAAACAAACAAACAAAACAACCAAAAAGCATAATTTCTAGCACCAAGTTCCAAAGAGAATATCGCTATGATCATAACGCTGTGGCAATATTGTATGTCCCCACGTAATATATACCGAATGTCTGTACCCGATGGCAACAATGGAAAGACTGGGAGATATAATAGCAGGGAGCACTTATGTAAATAGCAGAGACTGTATCAGAGGAGGTGGGTGGTAGGAGCAGGGGAGGGAGGGACTCAGGAAAAAGAAAAGCATTCAACAGACACAAAAATGGAAGGCTCTCTGTTGATGATGATGTATATGGGGAAGTCTTTAGCTTGATTGACATGCACCTCATCCATGCTGGGAAAAATTGTCTTGCAAGCTGAAAAGATAAGCAATGATTAAATTAAAATTTTTAGAAAGGAGTATTTCAATATTAGCTGCCATAACTCTCCAGTGCATGACCTTTACTTTAAACAGTCTTCAGTCTTAGGGGCTGGCAAAGCGTAGCACAGCAGGAAAACATGGCTCTTTGTGAGGTTGACCAACATGGGAAGGCTATTGGTTCTAGTCCAGAGACCTCTCTCAGTACACTGGGTACATGTACACCCAGAAGCTGGGATTTTCTGAGGCTAGAAGTGAACTGTGGCATCAAAACTCTGCCGGAAAGAAGGATGTGCTTCTTTTCCTCCCTTCCCTGTCTTCTTTCTCTCTTTTTCTGTGCCTCTCAGTCATGGAAGAAATAAATATCGATTTATTTTGCATTCTACCAAACTGAAAGCTCTGAAGTAAGCCAAAAGTCTTAGTAAAGCAAGGACTCTAAGGAGGGAACGATATCTACCCAAGATTATTTTAATAAACCTTCTACCCAATAAAAAAAAACATTTTTAGAGTATTCCCCAGTGGTTCTTGAATACCTACAGAGACAAGAGACTAACTACATTAAGGAGACTGTCTTCATCCACTGGAGCCTAGTTCCAAATCCCAGAGGTTTCTTTTTACATGAAACTAAAAAATTCTCCTCACAATTCGAGTTCTGTCTCTTGGGATACACAAAATAAGTCAGATCTCTTCGATACTGACTTTGTTTTTATAAGTTGTATCCCTCCTCCATGTTAATTTTTTCTTCTCTAAACTCAGTACCTCCGTTACACTAGACCCTACTTCTGAGAATATGATTTTTAGGCACATCAACATTCCTAACCACTCTTCAGTAAGGTCTAGAGATTGTCAATTCTATGTTGAAGTAAATATGCCAGACAGAGGTCCCCCCAGAGCAGAGCCTTCTAGCTAAACTTCTAGGTGGGCAGCCTACTTTTATGAATGCCGTAGGAGTTTACATTAGCTTTCCTCCACCTTGGGGAGGGAGGATTTGGTGCCAGCAGCAATATTGTTAGTTCATCTGCATCTCTGTTGGGGACAGGAGAAGCAGGTAATTAATTGTTTCTCTTCTGCATTAGGCAGCCGGCTTTCTTTGGGAAAGTTGAGCATTCTCATCCAGCAGTGGTTTCTGCAATTAAAGCTATCCACAGCCAGGAGTTTGATTAATAGCTGGGAGGTTTCTCCTTTGCTGACAAATGAGAAAAAGAGAAATCAGATAGGGAGAAATGGAATGTATTTGCTTAGTGCAGGGCCTGGCTAATGTTCTTTCCAAAGAAAAAGCTACAGTAATCTCCAAGGGACTGGCAAGGGTGGGGCGGCCAGTGCGGGGAGTGAATCTCTTAAAAGTTTGCAAAGTAATGGATCAAAAAAAACAAAACAAAAAAAACAGATGTGTCTGTTCCTCAGGAGCAGAGCAGAAAGAGCTGTAATCTGTGGTCTCTGGAGCTAGAAAACATTGCTACTCACATGGCACAGATGGGGAAAAAATAAGACTCAGAGAAGAAGACCTGGCTTTCCCAAGGTCGCACAACTGCCAAGAGAGTCAAGCTTTACATTTCTGAGTCTTAGAGGTCCTTTGCTCAGGCTGGAAGGGAGCCTTGGGAGAGTTGGTCTCAACTATCAGAACTGAAGAGACCAAAGCCTTGAATACAGAGTCCTAGACCCATAGCCAGTCTTCTCTCTATGATACCATAACTGCCTATGGCAGCAGGTGGAATTAGTGACCTAGAAGATCTGTAAGAAAGAAATTGCCACTTATAAATTCTGCTCATAGTTCTGAGTTTTTCTCTTCATAGCTGTCCTGAATAATTTAATTTCCTGCCTCCTTGGAGATTAGAAGACAGTGATCCTTTCTCTGGAACATTGAAACAGTCTTCTTTTCCTCCTAGCCATCCAAATTTCCTAGAATCTCTCCTCAAAGGTCCTGGAGGATATGTGGGATGAGGATGAAGCTTTGAGTATAGCAGACTAGTAAAGGAAGCCTCTGGGCTGTGAATCTAGGCTGTTAGCACCAAGGCTGGTCAGCAAAGGCAAGGAGGACACACAGGCTGGGTAGGTAATGGAGGCAGGATGGTGTGCTGGGGCCTTTCCTGAGAGCACAGCCAGAGAGAGGAGACAGTGAATGTGAACACCGTGTTACATAGTTCAAAGCAAAGGGCCAGATGGAGACCAGGGCAAGCAGAGGTGATTAGCCTTGGAAGCTAGGGTAGCATCAATTCATTTTTAACAGACAATAGATCATTACAATTGCTGTAACAGGAACCTGATGGTTCTTGAACCTGATGGATGAAGAAATTCTCTCAGGTCAGAAAACTGGTATGTGGGTGAGAACAAAAGCTAGACTGTGTCTGAAAGAGTCAAACAGACCTTTATTTAAAGGTCAACTCATTCATTAGTTGAATGACCTTGAACAACTCAACCGCCGAGCCTTGTTTTTCCTCATCTATCAAGTGGGGTTTGCAGATGATGAAATAAGACAAGTCAGATGACATATATATAGTAATTAATATAGTACCTGACACATAGTAAAGGATAGAAATCACAGTTAGGGGCCAGTAGGTGGCCTAGTGGGTAAGGTGCTGAACTCCCACGTGGTTGACCGCAGTTTGAGTCCCTAACTCGGTGACTTGAAACTCATGCCAGGCACACATGCATGCATGCCCAAAATCCCAGGAGGAGAAGGAATTGTGAAGTGGCTATCCTCCTGGGATGGGGGTTGGGGCATTTCTTGCTTTCTGTCTCTTTGTCTCTCTCTGTCTCTCTGGCAAGTGCATTTGTCCTATAGCAAAAATCTATAAAAACAAAACAAAACAAAATCCAGCCAGTAATAGTAGCAGTATTTAATGCTGCTGATGTAACAACATAATGATGATGATAACATAAATAATAACAATAGGAACATCCACCGGTGAAGCTCGCACAGTTGGTGACAGATTAAATGGGGAATTGTGTGCTATGGCTAATGGATCAAATCCAGCTCACCACCTATTTCTGTACAGCTCTTCAACTAACCATTATTATTTTTATTATTATTTTTAAATGCTTTTAACAA